TCAATCCCGATGCCTGTTCCGAGACATTTTCAGACAGGAGCGTAGCCTCCTCAAGTGGATCAAGAACGGTCGTTTGGGGAACATACGCTTGGGAAATGAGCACCCCGATGAAGAGGGTGAAGAGGTTGGACTTGCCCGGACCCTCACTCACGCAGTAAGGCAAGTTCACACAAGCTCTGAAAAGCAACGAAGAGTGTCAGAGGATGTCAGAGGCCATCCACAGGTCACAAATAGATTGTTGGAGCCGTGCCTTCCCTGCAGTGCTACTTGTCTGTAGCAGCAGCTGGTGCTATCCCAAATCTACCGCATAAACTCCTAACATCAGCACAACCAGGCTCTTTCTGGTACCATCGCGCTTTCAGCAAAGCACCGCGGACCGCCTCCTCCGAAGGAGCGTGGTCCAAACTATCTGCGGAAGGTGAGAGTATGCCAGCCTGTCAAGTGCGGAGCACAGGCTTGTCATGCCTGTGTCTACCGTGCTGTGAACCCCAAAAAAAGAGAGCATACAAAAGTCTTATCGCTCTGGGCCCAGCGCCTCAGCGGCTTCCGCTGCTTCCGCTGCCCGTTGGCTGCTCGGCGCGGCCGGGGAGGCCGGGGAGGCTGGCGAGGCATCAGCTTTGGCCTGTTCCCGGATGCGTGCCGCTGACTTCACAAGATCAAACTAGTTCACCTCCATGTACTTTTTTCATATTAAGTCACGGTAGACCACGTCTTGCCAGATTTTCAGGTGAAGCGGATTTGCTTGGAAAAACCGAAGCTGGTCAAAGCATCATTCAGCGCTTGTAGGGCTGGGAACGCCACACGGCCTGACTGGTTTGAAAAGGAACGAGATCGGCTGCCCTAGCAAGAAACAAGGGCAGCCATCCTATACATGTTAGGCAGATCCAAAGTCAGTATGATGCCGACATAACGGTTCGCATGTCGTTCAATTCGGACACGTGCTGGCATATGGTATACAACAAGGGGCTTGTACAAGGAAGGCCCAGGGTTCACGCTTCTGCACAAATCTGCGGCCACGTGTGCAGCTGAACGAAAACAGCAAAATCTTGTCCGCAGGAAGACGAGCGCAGAGAAATCCAAGTGTTCACTAGTTGCGATGTTTGAAGGATGCTCGATGGCCATAGCATTGATTGGAATGCCCGAGTCAGCTTCGGCAACCGCACGCCAAATTTCCAGATTCCGGCAGCGAATGCCCCCCTCATGCCACACTATGCAATAGACACACACAGCTTGGCCGAAACATGCCAAAACGAAGGTCCACGATTTGTTCGAGCGCTTGTCTTGCGCCTCTGCTCCCAAAGTGCCCTCATCTGCGTCTACCTCCAGGTCGTGTGGCAGTCAGCAGTCACGCAAAAATGCAACAGCATGCACAGCACTACGAGTACCTTCTCTGCAGCTTATCCAGTGCTGAGACTGCCTGAGGTGTCGCCAGTCCCGCAAGTGATGCCGCATCCTGCTGACTCCCCTCTGAGGCACTCTGAGGTCTGACTCTGACAACTTGAGTGCAAGCCACCTCCTCCAATGAGAGTGTGGCAGGGGCTGTGTTGTTCCGCTGCAAGCTGGGTGGGGTCTCCTGAACTGTATGCAGTTGTAGGCTTTGAGCATTCAAACCGCTCTGCTTCCTGAGTTGGAGAGGCCGCAAGGCTTGGCCGGCGGGAGCTCGTTGGTGAAGACAGGCGAGATGAAATGCTTCTCGCCGCCTGCGCATTGCGAATAACTCATCAAACATGTGTGACACTGACAGTGTGACATGTTCATCGCGTGGCTCTCTCAGAAACCTTGCGCTCAAGAACAAGCACACTGAGGGGCGCACCACGCACTGAATGTTTCCAAACATCATGTTTAGCAATGTGTTTGCTGCACGTGATGTTCCAACACCAATCGTCAGAGGCACCTCTCTCAAATCGCCTGAGAAGCTCTTCAAAGCGTCGGCAAGCATCCGGCTCGCCATCTTAGCAACGTGATGTGGCTTAAGAGGTCGGACAGCTGACACTGTGAAGCCCAACCGATGAAACCACTTGTCAGGGTCAATTTAGCATGTCACCCAACAGTGTCACACTCAAATGGCTACCAGTACTTGTTCCTGTGAATACTCTCTTTCTTGACACTCTGACGGCAACTGGGCCCTAGACAACTCTGCCACCCTTGGCAAAGCATGACATGCTTGCCACGCGGCTCTATGGCACACAGCTCAGGGCAAGTCTACTTACTTTCATGTTGTGGCAGAGGAGACAGACGCCACAAACGCTGAGGACTGTGCCTCCCGCGAGGAGCCGCTTGAACTGCTTCCGCTCCGATCCCGGTCACGTGCCTACAGGGCAGCGGTTCACGGCCTCAACCATGGCTTGGGCTAGATCTTGCCTGCATCGGTGACGGAACGCTCGGGAGCCTGCTCCGCACCTTCACAGCTCGATGCATCTCCACAGCGACTGGGCTCACATCACATCGAGAGCCGAAATAACTCACAAATGTCGCAAAAGGTGTTCAGCTGTAACTGGGCATCGATCACTCCACATCTTGTGTACTGTTGTTGCATGACCCTTCGTCAACTTGCTAGCAAGCTCTCAGGGCCTCTGCACCCTGCCGGAAGTCACTGGAGTCCTTGCGGCAAAGTCAGCTTATGTTTGGGACTAATGGTTCGCATGTCTTCGAAGACTCCTGTGAAGCACTCGGAGACAGAATGAACGAGTACGGGTTGGGTGGAAGTGCACTGGATGCGCTGGTTGGCCGTGGTGGGTGCCAGGGTGGAGACGATGAGGGCAGTTTGGGCATGGAAGGCGCAGAACTTGGTCGGGAGGTCTTCCTCACAGCGCCTCCAGACAGGCAGTTCCTCAAACTCTAAAACGTAGTGCATGCGCTGTGCTGTTCTGACCTGAGCCTTCGTTCTCAGCTGATGTTGCTGGAGTCAACGGCGTCTCTGCTCTTGTGGAAGTGGACGCAGGTCGCGGTAGCTCTATCCCCTGATCCAAATTGGCGATGAATTATGCTGAAGCAACTAAATCCAGACAAACACTGCCTCATCATGCGGCTTGCCACCGTTTCCATCCTTTTCCAAGGCTGTCATATCAATGCTTCCAGCATGTCAAGCGATTCCACGTCTCAGGTCATGCTGCTTCAGACACAACTCCTTGTCTCCCTGCGACGCAGGAACGTTGACGGCGTCTTCCACTGCCACCGCCACCTGCCACTGGCCGAGACAAAACCAACACATGTCAATCTAGTCAATCTAGTCGCTGCATGGTTCTGAGTTCCGAGAAATAAGGAGCTCTCAAGATCTCCAATCTCTCCCATCAGGCCTGGACGGGCAAATCAGCAGATTCGCTGGCTGGCGCTGTTGTATGCACAGCGACGAGTTCGTTGGCGGTCTCACTGACAGTGCCCGGCTCGTGGGCAGCCGAATCACTCTCAGCCAGTGCCGTCTCACTGGTAGCTGCTGGCTCACTGGCAGCGGGCTCGCTTGCAGCCGTCGCATGCTCGGCAGCGGGCTCACTTGTAGTCAGCTCGCTCTCGGCGAGCGCTGGCTCACTGGTAGCTGCTAGCTCACTGGCGGGCTCGCTTGCAGCAGTCGCATGCTCGGCAACGGGCTCACTTGTAGTCAGCTCGCTCTCGGCGAGCGCTGGCTCACTGATAGCTGCTAGCTCACTGGCGGGCTCGCTTGCAGCCGTCGCGTGCTCTGCCGCGGGCTCACTTGTATTCAGCTCGCTCTCGGCGAGCGCTGGCTCACTGGTAGCTGCTGCCTCGCTGGCAGCGTGCTCGCTTGCAGCCGTCGCATGCTCGGCAGCGGGCTCACTTGTAGTCAGCTCGCTCTCGGCGAGCGCTGGCTCACTGATAGCTGCTAGCTCACTGGCAGGCTCGCTTGCAGCAGTCGCATGCT